GGGAAAGAGCTGCTGAGTGTTCAGCCACACCACCTACCTTTGGTCAGGCCTATTTCATGCAGAGTTTCCACAACATGGATTTTTGCAGAAGCTGTTGCCTCTCCTTTGGCATTTGATGCATGACACTCATATTCTCCAGCATCCTCTTTGCTCAGAGGAGATATCTAGGGGAAGAAACACACCCCCCCACCACCACCCAGTAAATGATCCTGTGCACAGGTAGAGGTGATTCTGCTGCTCTGCAGTTGGGAGCATCGTACTTGAAACTCCCTTACTGGGATGCCCAGCAGCTCCCTCTGATGGGTGATGTGCTGCAGTGAGGAAAGGGCAGTTCTGCCAGATCTATAGGGGCTCCTCAGCTGAGGATGGGGCTTAGGGATCCCTGCCTCTGTACTGATTCCTTCCTAGACACGGCGAGGGTCTGCTTCCCACTAATGGCATCAGGACAGTGATGATACACAGAAAGGAGATCTTTTATTGAAGTCCAGCCTTCTCTGATCATAGAATGCATGCTAGACAGAGGTGAAAAACTACAACAGGTAAGACTGGAGCCAGCAGCCCCCCTTACCCTTCATGCCTAATTCACCCGGGCTGTTTTCTGCTAAATGCCCTGTCGCCATGTGTCTTCTGTGCTGTTCTTTGCTCATGAGCTATTCGCAAACCACACTGTACTGTTTGTGCAGCTCTGTGCACACACAAAGTACTTACGAGCACCCAGCCAGTCACTTCGTGTTTCTCAGGGCCCCCTCGGGTCTGGATAGCCAAGTTTTCCCGGTCCCCAGGGAGAAGTTCCATCCTCTGGACGCCATACTGTCCCCGAATTATCTAAACAGAAGGGCAGAAAGGGGTAAGAATTTTGGGGCTTATTTATGCTAGAACTGTTAGGACCGTACCTGCCCACAGACAAGATCAACACTAGTTTACATGCATGTGTTTTCTCCAGTAGCAGTGTTTTTTCAAGCACCACCATCTTGTCCTCCTGGTGTGGTTTAACCCCAGCCAGCAGCTCAGCACCACACAGCTGCTTGCTCACTCCCCCCTGGTGTGATGAGGGAGAAAATCAGAAGAGTGAAAGTGAGAAAACTCAGGGGTTGAGATAACAGCAACCTCTGGGCCAGTTTAGGGTTTTTTTCTGTAGTATTCTTAACTTAGTGTTGTTTCAGCTTAATTTTAAGACCCGTCCCAAGCATCTACAAACCTGTGGCATTTGAAGAGGCTGCAGGGACCATGGAGCAGCTCTCCACCCCATGGTTGGGATCTTCTCTGCTCAACGTTGGCTCCTGCCCTAAGGCAGGTGTTCCCAGCACGCTGCCACAATCAGCATGCTGCCGGCTACCGTAGACAACTGCCCCGTGCAGTTCCTGTTCCTGACGTGAGCAGCCGTGTCCAGCCACCTCAGAGTCACTGCCACCAGCAGGGTGACAGCAGGTCACGGGACATTCCCTGTGTGTGCTCTGAATACCAGGTGCTACCAAGAGAAACACAAGTCCTGCTCTGCCTCAGGATCAGCAAGAGTTTAGAAAAAGCAGTGATTACAGAGTAAGCAGAGCCAGATGTTTGGGGGTGGACAGAAAGGCACAGATGGGAGAACTCATCAAAGATGTGTGTTTCTGAGGAGGGATCTGCTACAGCCTTTATGCTTCCCAGGCAGATCCAGCTGCCTTGGGTTTGCTGTGCTCTCCGAGCTCCCAGCAGGGCCCTTACCTTGTTCCAGATGAGGACAGGGGTTGGGATGCCCATCACTTCACAGCTCAGGTAGATCTGTGCTCCTGTCACATTCCAGATGTCCTTAGGAGGGGTCACAATGGAGGGTCCTGCAAGAAGGGAGAAATACTCCCTAAGCACTGGGTGACTGCAAGCCTGTCTCCTTGCTAGCCTTTAAGTGGAGCCAATCACTTCTGGTGGGTTTTGAGGATGAGGTGAAGGGGGTCCCTGCTTGGAGCAAAGCTTGCTGGACTGATCCCCCATCACAGCGCTTCCCTCTCCACAGCTACACCTGCATCCCAGCTTAAATTGTTCCTGTTTTACCTGTGTGCAATATGCAGCCAAAGGAGGCTGGCGGAGTCCTTCTTTGGGGGGATCTAGGAAAGGACCAGGTGAATGCAGAGTTTTTCCCCAGAGAGCTCTAATCCCTGGTTTAACAGGGCGTTGTTTCCAAAGCCAGACGGGAACAGGGCTGTTTTGCACATCTGCCTGGAGATGTTTATCCCTCAGGCTGGGAAATGCTGAGCCGTAACCCATAGCCCAGAAAGGGAAGAATGGCTTTTTCTGTTCAACCCCTCTTTAGTGGGGTTGTTTTGCAAAAAGGCAGCTATTAATTCCCCACAATAGGAAGTGCAGACCAAAGGAGCACATAGTGTTTATTTCCTTGTATTGATAGCTCGAAGAACACAGCAGCTCTTCCCCTCCTGCTCTGAAGATGCAAGCAGTAACAGGCAAACTGAAGCTCCCATTAGGTTCCACCAGGAGAAGGCATTTCCTATGCAAATAAGCACTCCATGGCCAGTCTGGCCAAAGCTCCTCAGTATGCTGCCTCACAGACCATGGCTCATTCCCAACCCTATAAAAGAGGGGCAGATTTGGGTCCTGATGCTCCTTCTGAGGTCCTGAACACACACTGATCTCAGCCCTGCATGTGCACCCTGCCCTGCAGCCTTCTTGCAGGCAGCAGGAAGCAGGTCTTGGGTGCATCCCTCTGCACCAACATCTTCCAGCAAAAAGCTGGCACAGGTTTTCCTCCTGGGGATTTTGGGGGCAGATCTGCACTGGTATCACTAGCTAGAGGACATCATCCCATCTTAGCCTGAGGGATGCTGAGGTAAGCAGCTGGTGTGATCCCAGAGAAGCATTTGCTTCTAGCAAGTGCAGGGCTGCTGAAGAGACCAGGGTGGCTGCAATCCAAATTCTCTATTACAGAGGTATCCCAGGCCTAGTTTTAACAGGAGGTAGCTGCATAAAAGCAGGGAAGTTGTATATGTAGCCCTGGGTGATGGTTAAAACCACACTCAACGATCAGAACAGGCTGGCTTCCTGGCACACATCACAACCTAGGTGCTCCTCATCTGCACAGAGCTCATTCTCTCAGCTGAGAACAAGGATTTAAGCAGGGTTCCATTACACCACTTTGCCCTGTTGTTGGCTGTGCTGCTACATGAAACGATTCCTGTGTGCTGGCCAGGAGGACACACCTTGCTGGAGTCACAGCACCCTTTCCTGTATGGAAGGATGCTTGGAGTTACCCTTGCTCGAGATCTGGAGCAGATCTACACCTCCCCGTAGTGCCCGGCTCTGTGCTCTCAGCAACACCCCACTGGAGGGTAGTTATTCCCTTGAGTACAACCATAGCCTAGTACAGTGGAGTGATCGGGGGGGCTAGCACCCCAAGCCTGCTCCTGGCCCCCACGCAGCCCAGGGTATTGCTGTCCCCGTGACAGGGCCACCTCTGCTCACGCGCTCCACTCCCCTTCCCCAGCACGGCTGTTTCCTGCACAGCCCTGCTCTTCTTTTTCTGGTGTCCCTTGAATAATAGGGCACTTGGCAGCTCTGGTGGGACCCAGATGTCCCCAGGCTGCTGAGCTCACCCTGTGCTCAAGGATCTCCAGCTACTGTGCACCCAGCACAGCCTGCTGCTGCCTTCTGCTCTGGCCACGCGAAGCTCTCAACACGCAAGGTGCCCTTCCCCTGGGAGAACTCGGGGTCTGTCCATGAGAGGCAAGGCTATGTTTGCCCCGCTATGACACCATCCTCTTTATCACTGGTTGCTGGGGTTCTCCATGAGGCCAGAGTAAAATGCCCACCATCTCCCACTGCAGAAGAGGAGGGATCCTGATTCTTGGGTCAAAAGCCAGGTGGATTTTAAGGCACCACTATGCTCTTCCAGGATGTGGCTCATTTCTTGCCTGGTTGTTTCCCCCTGTATCGGGGCCCAGACACCCTCTGCCCATGGATGTTTGCTCGCCCTGCCAGGAGCTGGTCACACCAGGCTTTTTCTGCAGCAGCGGCTGGCAGAGGAAAAGGGAGAGGGAATTTCTACCCACCTCCTGGGCGAGGAGAAATTGTTTATCTTCCCTGAAAGGGGAACTGCCTGCGCAGCTTCACAGCGAAGCTCCGTCTGGCTTGGCACAGCAGCTGGAGCACGGCGAGAGCCTGGCTGTAACGAGGCAGCCCCAAGCTCGGGATGTACATCCTGATCCAGCCAGGAGGAATGTGAGACTGCCTTTGGCTGCAAAACGAACTGGAAGCGTTGACAGCCCTCCGCCTCCATCCGGCACAGCCCTGGGGCCGGGAGGGGATTGGGAGGGAATGCACATCCAGAGAGATGCGACGGTGTCATGGGAAGAGTCAGCTTAGTCTCTCGGGATATTTGACTTAAATCCAGACAGCCAAAACTCTAGAGCTGGGCTTCTTCCTCCACTAAAAATAAATGAGAAAGGCCCAGAAGTCAGCAGATTTAAAGCTGAATCACAACATGCCACAGTGGTACCAGACTCCCACCGCAGCGAGCTGACGCCGGGGTGCACAGCAGACTTCAGAGGACTTGAGGACATTCCCTCCTGCAAGTCACCCCCTTGCTTGGGGGGTCCTTGTGAAGGTCAGAACCGGGGCACCGCGGATGTCCGGGGTGCTTCCTGCCGGTACATGTCCTGACGGTGCAGAAGTTCCTGGGCCAAGAGGACAGTGCGGGTTGTTGATGGAGATCAGCTGCTCTCTGCAGGCACTGCAGACATTTCCTCCCTGCTCTGCCCATTGTTCCTAAGAAAAAGAGCTCTCCCTGGATTATTTGCAGAGCCAGTGAGATCGTTCACCTTGGCAGAAGAGCCCGAAAGCGCAGGGATTGTTTTTTCAGCAGATCGCAGGGAGCTGACAGCCTGCGTTATGTCAAAAGCAGCAGCCCGAGAGGAGGTCCCACTGCTCTTATGTAGTTGCTTTTCTGCCACAGCAGCATGTGGCAGAGCCTGTAACTCCCTCCATGAAGCTATCATTTGGCATTTGATCCCCACACCCTGCTCGCCCCGGGCACCTCTTCTCTGCTCAGCATCTCCCAGCCACCCGCCTGCCCCTCGCTGGTACCAGGATGATCAAGCTCTTGCAAGTCTGAAAATAGACCCACTCCAGTCTCCTAAGCTTCTGGGAAAGTATTTTCCCTTCAAAATGACTTTATATGGAGAAGGGGAAACCTTCCATCAGCAGCATCTCCTCATTGAGCTGGCATGGGCTCAGCTGCCTCCTCCCGGGTCAGTGCTCAGCGAGAGGCGGCAGCGGATGGGAAGCTCAAGCAGCTTCTGGGCTTCCCCACTCCCAAAGCTCAGCCTGCTGCTTTCTGGCAGATCGACAGGCCTCCTCCTGTACCCCTTTCTGAAGGCGTTTCTCTGCCTCCTTTAACCTGGCCTTGAAGAGACTCAGGAGTTACAGAAAGAGGCTCCGAGACATCCAGAGCAAAGGAGATGCGGATGCTGAGCCTGTCCAGACCCCCCGCCCCCCAAGACTCCAGCAGCCCAGTGACCCTGGAAGGGCTGCAAGCGCATTACAGCACAAGGACGACCACGAGCTGAAGCCTGGAAAGAATGTGAAAAGCTTGCAGTGGGAGACATGGAGACAAGGCATGGCAGTGTTTAGGCACGGAAAAGCAAGCAGGGCTTTCAAAAGTCTGACCTGATTAGACTCGCTACGTGGTAATCTCCTATTTAGTATGAGCCTCAATCAACCTCAGCCCGACAACAGATTAAACACATTTTTTGAAACACAGCATGCCTTTCCAGCAACAGAAAAAACAAACACGGGGAGGAATTTGCTGATCTGTAATCATTCCTGCCTAGTGATTTTGGATACGCTATGCTGATCGAGAATGAAGACACAGGTGGAATGCGGGATGCTCTTGGGCGGTGGAGGTGTCTGCACAGTCCCCAGCGTACTGGTGCTTTCCGAGACTCTGAGCTGCCCAGTAATACATTAAACAGCTTCCTGTGGGAGGTTTGAGGACAGTAACCATAGAAACTCCAGCTCCAATGAACCAAAACCTTTTCAAAGAACTAAATACCTTTTAAGGAGGAATTTATGGCCTATCCTACAGCAGTGGAAAAACCCAAAGTTACGAATGTTAAAAATACCAGCATAAAGCTCCAGCCCTAGAAACTCTGTCCCAAAATCCCACTGCACCGTGGGCTGGGAAAGCAAGCACCACACTGGAAAATACCACATGTCCGCACCACGCTCCCACCTGAAAGGACCCTGAGGTACAAAACAAAAAGTGCAACCCCACCGCGTGCCCACAAGACCCCCACTCCCAGCTAATACAGAAACCCAACCCAGCTTTCCAGGAGAACTGGGGAATTCAGTTCATTACTAGCCACAGATGACTTAGCAAAAACTTGTCTAAAGCTCTCTTTCACCAGCAAAGAAGAAAGACCTCATAAAATCGGATATTCCTTTAAATCCCTTCTAATCCAGGAAACGAAGAATGGCAGGAAAGAACTAAAGCAGCCTAAGGCACTTGCTAATTAAAAAGTACAAATCCAGAAGAATTTTTTTTTGCAAAATGTGATCTGATATGAGCTACGGTCTCTGGTGTCTCAAAGAGTCAGGAGCCTTTGACTTAAAGGCAGCTACATCAGGAGAAGATGAGCCAATGTCAGTGATAACAGCAGTCTGCCATCACCCAGAAGGTTCTCCCCCAAACCCCTGTTTCTGCTCTGCTCTGGCAGGGGATTAAAGGAAAAAAACCATACCACCCTCAAAACCAAAGTATTTCTGGCAAAGCCTCAACAGCTGAATTTGGATGGAATGAGCTAATAGATGTGATTCATGCTTCTTGTTT